CTGGGATCGGGAGACCCTCCTGGGGCATGCCCAGCCTCTATAAAGCGGGTAACCTTTATTAAAAAAATTATTAAAGGGAAAAACCTGGCGGTTGAGCGTGATATCGGCCCGCGTCACCTTCCTGCACAACCGTTTGCCTTGTAACAGTGCCTCACATCGTACTGCACTCAAGACCCTTCATGGGTTGTAGTGGTACAGGTTTTATATGTATGTGGGTGTGTTTATTTAGTGATAAATAAAAATCTAAAGCAACAGTATAATATAAAGAATTATTGTGGCCTATAATAATAAAAAGGTTCCCCAGCTATGGTAAATGACTTACAGACAAAAAAAAACACCTTTAAGAAATAATATTATACTATAACACAGGTAATAAACTGATTACTGAAGTACTCCTTTGTGTATGGTGTTCTGTCTCTGTTATCATAACACTGTTATCATTTTGTAATAACCTTTACTTCCCCCCACCAATATTTCATAAGTGCTGCCGCCCATGATTTATACATCGTTTACCATAAGAAAACTTTTTAGTTTTAGCAGCGTGGTTGTCGTTATGTGACATGAAAAAAAAAATATAGGATAAGTAAATAACGAATGTGTGTCGCCATAAGTATACAAAATAAATAGTAAAAAATGTAGCTTTAATCAGAGCCATAGATTAAGAGGAGTTGGAAGAGCAATTTTGCCCGACGGGTTTGGCGGATGAGTTGCAAGTTGGCTCCAGTTGGTAAACTCGTTAGCGACTCAACTGGTTACCCCCCGCAGGACACTAGGCAGCTAATCAGGATTAATTAAGGACTTGTACACAGGACATCTTCTTCCTGGCTTAGGTATATTTCCAGCGAGGCACGGAATCTCTTTCTAGCTCAGTTACATTTAAGTATGTCGAAGACTGTACACACTCCATTATATATATTAACTACATTTCATTATGATAAGTTGTAACTACTATAACTTATTTATTGAGAAATATTGCAATCTTTCTCAAAGGATATTTATAATTTCTGCTCAAGGAGCACATTCACACTATATATACAATAAATTAAATAGCAAAATAATATAAATATAACTAAATGTATATAACAAAAAAAAAAAAAAATAAATAACAATTCAAAATAAGAACTTAAATTCAAACATATATGAGAAATTAATTTTTCAATTTATATATAGAAATTTCAAAAATACTAACGTTCGATAAGTTAAATAAGTGTGAAGACGATAGTGAGCGTTATCACCTAATTTATATAAAATTAAAAAATAAATAAAAAAACAATCGTACGGACTGAAAGTAAATAGATAGAAAAAAATACTTTATTCTGGGACTAAGTCCCTTTAGAATAACAATATTGTACAAAATAATAGAATATTACTGGCCTATACGTTTGAAACAATAAATAAAATTGATAAAATAAAATAAAAAGTAAAGAAAACCTTAGGTGCACAAGCTATATACAATACAGATAAAACTATGTACAGAGCATTTAAAATTATGAACAAAACAATTAAAACTGTGAACGAATAACTTGAACTATGAACAAAACTATATATAACAAAACAACATAAACATACACTTTGATAAATGAAGAACGAAAAAGAGATAGAATGAGTTCATTTCATAAAAAAAAAAACTACTTGAATATATATATATATAAATAAACAGTTAATTATAATTGAATAAAAAAAAAAATGTATGTATTGAAATTCCTACGTCGATAGTAAGAAATGCATGTACTATCTCTTACCAAGTATTATGATTATATGACTGCTACACAATACATATATAGTATTAATAGTTGGCTGGTATCTGACTGTTTTTGGAACAGGAATTGGAATAGGAGATTTTTGAATGTGTATAGGGAAGGAGCATGTCGAATTTTGCTCGGGAGGGAATTCCAAAAGTTGACAGAGCGGGCTATAAAGGAGTTTTGGAATGAGGCAGATCTATGAGAAGGGATGTATAGGTCAGAGGGTCGAGATCTTGTAGTGAGGGAATGGATTGAGGACTTAAATTGGAGAAGGTTGTAGGCATAAGAAGGACGATGATCGGTAATGATTTGATAAAGGAAAGTGCCTAGAAAATATTGTCTTCTTAAGGAGGGGAAGAGCCACCCTAACTCAGTGTAGTGGTGGGGTTAAATTATAAATACTTGAATAAAGTACAAAGGAAAAAGTAATCATATAAATGAAAAAAAAAAGAACGAATGATATAATATATATCATTCGTTTTTTTCTTTCACTTATATGATTACATTTTTCCTTTTTAATCTATTGGCAAAAACAGCGAAAATGATGAACACCGAAACCGCGATAATTATGACATTTTTACAAATTTTTTAAGCTACTGAATTTATTTTAACTTTTATAATGGCGAAAACGATGAAAATGTATAATTCTAGAAAAGAAACATCTTGTCTACATTGTCACAAAGGAGCACAAAAATTTTTTTCGTTTTGGGGGAAAATCCCTATAGGTTTCCCGGTAATTTTCCGGTTCCTGGAAACCCTGTTAATTACGATAACGTCAGTCAGCGTAGGGAGCTCATAGTCTTGCCCTTTCGGCAAAATATCGAGGACAAGATCCTGAGAGATTATAGCGCCTCTCTCTTAGCCGCGACGCTAGTGGAGTGATATTAACAGATAAGACAGGACCTTTTAACTGTATATTAAAAGTATTAAATGTTTCATTTTGATTTCAACTATGACTATCTTCCACATGGATGTGGTTTACTATTCATTACATGATTTTCAAAGCAAGAGTCAATTGGAAAACTAGTTCTATGTGCCTTTAGTGAAACCGGCATAGGGCTAAGGAGGAATAAGGATAAAGCAATGGTACCTCACAGTGATACCATGTTCCAGCTCTATGCAAAGAAGGTCCCAGTCCCATCAAAGGGTTCAACGCGTTGTACTAATAAGGGCTCACTGTATCCTTTCGCTCTGTCCTCTATCATGTGGTCCATGAAGATTTATTCATTTTATCTAACCGTCTATTCTAATTCAGTATGATTATTCTTCCATATGTTTTCTATTATCCATTATCTATTATTCATACTATTATAATACTTGAATATTTAATAGTTGACCGTTGCATTATAAAGGAAGGAGATGGTCCGGGGTTGCGGTCATAAATAGGCTAAATAGTGGTAAAACTATTTTATTGAAAGCCAACGTTTCGACTTTGCAGGTCTTCATCAGGGAGGTGTGTTCATCTAGGAGTTTCACTTAGAACTGGCTAAGCTCTAAGCCCATTCTCTGAGAAGTATAAAGTATAAAAGAGAAGAGAATAAAAGAAATTTTTAATTGAGTGTTTATTTATTAATTAATACATAACATAAAATTGGACATCAAAAATTAAATTTGCGATCTGCAAATTTCTTTGCAATGAGCAAATTTTTTGGCAGCTTCACAGCGTTCCATTACAATCCAGGAAATAGTTCAGTTTAGCAGGTCTCTGAATTGAGTTTAATGTTATTTATGAGATTAAGGCGCCCTAATGATATCTCGTTCGCCATAATCAATAAAGTCATTTCAATGTTACATTATGATGTTACAGAATTATATCAGATATAGGTTAGTTTAGTGTTGTAAGGTACGGACAGATTATCAAATGTTTTCTCTGTCATTTCAAACTATAAACTATAAATTATAGAAAACAATTATCTATCGATTAAGAGAAAAAGTACCTCTGGAAATTGGGAAAGGCGGAAGGAAACTAAATGAGTTAAGTTGATCGATTTTGAGTGTAAGTTGACGTTGGCACTCATTAGCCCACTTATTTGTATAGTTCTAGCCCTGTGCAGTTGGGTTTTATGGCTATGATTTAATTTAAATATTTCTTCGATTCATAAACTACATAATGGTGTTTTTGTAACATAAACCATAATTAAAACTTGATTGAATTGGAATTACCAGATGATTGTGCTAGTCTTGTATAAATGTGTACGTTCAAAACATTTGATAGATATTCTTTATGTAGTTTTATTCTAATAAGTTAAAATTCCAAGATACCTGTAACCGTAGGACTTACAGGTTAAAGCACCGTTTATGTATGATATTATATTAAATATTACAGTAATGATTTAAGCTGATAAAGTATAGGTTTCAAAATAAATACGATTGAAACTAATGTGATGATTAAGAAACATAAAGGATCCTATAAGAATTAAATAGAATGTCCAAAAAATTTAATGAATCTAGAGTCAAATATAGATATAAAACGCAACCCAAGTTAAAATAGATTTTGTAAATAACATTCTGAATTCTTTTTCATATTTCATCGTAAAATTATTCAATTTTGTGTTAAATTTACGTCTTCTAAAGAAGGATGACCTGGAACCCACATGTCAAAATGAAACGACTGAACCTTAGACAAGCGACTGAAAATACTGTACTCACTTTTTTCTAAATCGAATTGAAAGTTGGACAAAAACTAAATACGTATACTTACCTACTCAAACCCATTTGGACATACGCCTCTCAAATTTACGGTTCGGCAAAAAAGGCGCACTTACAAAACCTACAGTCATTTAAATTCAAAATTTTACGACTTGTAACAGGAGCTCCCTGGTACGTCAACAACAAAACTTTATATAACGACTTACGACAACCAACTATAGACCAACACATACGTACTCTCTACTCTCGTTTTCATCTCAAACTACACACAAACTGAGTTATAAACTACATGGCTACGACTACCAGGAGATTAAAAAGGAGCTGGATTCTGATCTCTCGATATCCTCACATAAATCAAAGACCACTATAAAATGACCAGGAAGAGGTGTCCTTCCTCATGCCTATATTGCCAGCGTCATCATCAAAACGCATCTGCTGATTGTGAATACCATGACAGGTGCGGATAAACAGTTAAAGAGAGAGAAAAATAAAGAATATAACAATGCCTTTGATTCTTGTTGGTATCTGCATTGAAGCTCCCCGATTCGCTTGGTGTTTTATTGTAACTATAATTATTGTTATAAATAATAATAACATGATACTTACTTGTAGTGAGCTTGGGAGCTGGCAGGTGGTGGAAGCGCCGGGACAGACGACCCCTTCGGTGTACTTGGCCGAAAGAAGAGATATCGAAGTACCTTCTGGGCAGGATAGGTCCAACTCTTCGCAGGCGGACTTCTCCAGTGTCCTCAAGCTGGTGCTCAGCAATTCTGTCATAAGAAACGTACAGAAATGTTTTTTTTTTAATTATTCAAGGAGAGTAAAAGAGAATATAATGGCTGTTCTATGCCTTTATTTTTCCTGACCCTGTTTGCAAATAGTTCTATTCGTGTCTGTAAAGTAATTAATAAATATATTTCTAAATTTTATTTTCTCTGAATAAACTATGTTGTCGTCCTTGTTGGACCAAACGAATTAATAGAACTACAAATTAATACAATTACTCTTATAACTCTAAAAATTAATAGAAATTGGATTAATTTCTGGATATCCTAATATAAAGCTGTTATTTGGAACAAGAATCAGATATAAATATAACATCAATAGAACTACTCCGGTTTGGTTAATAATGTGGAAAGATACGTCGCCTATTAATATAAAATATATTAAGCGTTAGCGTAAAAATCTGATATAATTGGACTTATTTTTTTTTTTTTTAAACAATGTTAATGGGTGCATATTATCTTTGGGGGAGATAATTTTAGGAGTACTGAACTTTACTATTTATTCAAAGCTGCGGATGAGTTACCTGGCCTCTTATTCAATTACATAAGGCTCTAATCTAAAACCAGTGAATCTAGTCCTTATCGTTCTTTCAATTATATATTTCTCTTTTGAGAGTGTGACATGTTAAATTATGTTGCTTCGAAGATTTCTTCATTGCAAAACTTTTAATACCCTAAGATAAATCAGAAGGCCGCCGTAATAAGGTATTACGGACGAAAATCTCATTTCGTTTAAAACCTTTAAGGGATATAATGGGCTGTGTACAATGCAAATTAAGTTCTCCAGAGAGCGACTAAGTTTCGCTTCTTTGAAGGGTTATGTGAACCTTTTTCGACGAAACTTCCTTCTCGAATACCTTTGTGGACTTATACCAGTTCCTCTAAATATACTTAACGTTTTACGTCCTGGTGTTTTCATCCAAGTTCTACATCAAATTCGTCTTGATGGCACGTTCCCAGAAGTTCTCAGAGACAATATCCTTCTGGTATTGGACAATAATTATGTAATAGGTAATTATCATGATTTGATCCAGTAATGATAGAAATAAAGGTTTAGATTAAGCAATTACCAGGTTTTATTTATTTATTTTTTTTTGCAACCACGATTTTAACACTGACTATTAAAGTTCATAAATAAAATCAACGAAAAACAATTGCAAACAGAGCTTTATTTTTCCAAAGTATTGAAATCCCAGTGCACAAGCAAAGAAGTGTACAATACCATGATAAATCTAGTCGTGAAATAGAGCTTCGTGACCGAGACACTAATCAGCACTCTACTAAGAAGTGTTTCTTAAATCTTTTAAACAGAAATAAAATTGAAAAGCTTAATTTATAATGATAACCTCTTCTTTTATATGTATAGATGTAATGTTTTTTGGAAGAATACAATACTCACTAATAAAATAATGAACTTTTACTGAAAAAATACATCTGTGTACATATAGCCAAATGTTTTATAGATAATCATTTTATGTACTTATCCATTAGGAAATCCTAAATATTGCCACGATAAATTTTTCAAACTTATGTATTATGTAAAATTATCTCTTACAGTATACTGAAAATTAATTGCCCTCACTTAGGTTGTCCGATATGGCGAGGAGTGGGAAGGCTGACGACAGAACTACTGATACAAGAAGAATCATTGTTTCGTTCCCATCTTCATTCTGAAACATGTGAAAACCTCGTAGGCTATTGAATAATAATAATAACAATAATAATTTTATTATATATTATGGAGAGCGGGGTATTATCGGTCGGTGGGTGAGCACTGACTTCCAGAGATCAAGGTCTTAGGTTCGAATACGGCTGATGGCAAGTAATTTTTCATCAGCCGTGGATCGACTCTGGGGTCGGGAGTTCTTCCTGGGGCACACCCAGCGTCTATAAAGTGGGTATTATTATTTAAATAATTAATTAAAGGGTGAAACCTGATGGTTGACCGTGATTTTGGCCTAATCACCTCTCTGCACATCCCTTGGCTTTGTAACAGTACTTCTTCACATAGTAATGAACCCTAGGCCCTTCATGGGTTGTAGTGATACAGGTTATATATATATATATATATATATATATATATATTATATATATATATATATATTATATATATATATATATATATATATATATATATATATATATATATATATATATATATATATATATATATATATAGAGAGAGAGAGAGAGAGAGAGAGAGAGAGAATATGAATAAGAGAAACATGACGAGCTATTATGTGATTAACGATAGAGAGTAAAGAAATTATCCATATTTTGTACAATATTTTTTACTACCACTATACCGTAAAATTAGGTATTGAAGCAACTAATTTCCAACTCCATTCTGCTTTAGTTGGAACACATATAAACTACTTATCCCCATATAATACTTACCCCTATATAAACTAAAAGTTAACTCTATTAACTACTTATTCAATTTACAATAATTTTCTTTCTATATTCAAGATCATATGGTTGATTCTACGAAAATTGACATTTTTGTTTTCATGAAAAAAAGTTTTTGCTTTTAATTTTTATTAAAAATTAAAACTAAATGCACTCCGTGAGGAGGTTCAAACTGTTATTTGATTTCTAATAGTACTAATTTAGTTTATTGTTTTAAATAGGTTATCAAAGTATTTTGGACAACCAGGTGTATGAGACAGGAGTGCCCAGAAAGAGGTGGAATTGGGTTGCGCCATGAATTTTTGAAGGGGGCACATGTTGAAAGGTTTATAAATTTTAGGAGGAAACCATGCTTTTATGGTTTTTCGGTTTGGAAGAACATTCAAATCAGAGAACAAGGGGAAATACATGGAAGCATACTACAGGAAATGTTGTATATTAACTATAACTTTTCTAATTCTACTTTCGCTTGAACTTTTTTTTTAAAGAGGAGATGAATACAATTTTTCGGCAGAGGGGCATGCGCTATTGAATTTAGAAGGAAATGGGCACGTCTAAAATGATATTTTATAATGAAGTAGCGCTCTTAAGGAATAGGATAAATTTTTTCAGTGACAACTAGCCAAAAACCTGCACAGAATTGATTGAAGATTAAATATTTTTTGGTTTTCTGTAGCTTAAAATCATGACGGATGAATGACTTTCCATAAAAAACTTTAACAAATAAAAAAATCTGCTATACTGTAGTTGTATATAATACCTTCTCTAATCACCTCACATTGGGACGGGTAAGGGAATACTCGCGACATCGTCTAAAACCTTTTTATATATATATATATATATATATATATATATATATATATATATATATATTATAATTCCAAAAACTAGATAAATTGTTTTATTTATTTCAGTTGTAGTTTGTGAGAATATTTTCCCTTTTGGCAAAATATACATTTTTCACAGTTTTTATTTAATAGTTCAATTGAACACCTAGTAATTTTATGGAATTTTACTTGTACATTTTGTAAAACTGTTTGGGTCGAAATTTTTACTATCTTGAATAAAAAATATATGATAATTCTTCGAATATTTATGCATTTTTGTTAACGATGTGCTTTTAAAAAGCTTCGAAATTCTCCGAAAAATTATTTTTATGGAGTCATTGCTAAAAAAATATTCTTAATAATTTTAACCTCCATTATCCTCCAAAAGGCATTTAAATAATATTTAAAATTATTTTTGTTAGTATGAACTGTCGAGCAATTTCTAGGTCTGTGCTAATATCTGCTATAACTGGATATGCTCTTAAATTTAGTTTGAGAAATTGTATTGAACATTAAGACGATTAGTTTATGTTATCTTAATTATTTTTTTCAAAGAATACCTCAAATTAAAATAAGAAACAACAAATTTACATTAAATATTGAATCTTCGTTTTCATTGATTTATTTTTTTAAGCGGGTCTGTTGTTGGTAAGAGTACAGGTAGTGGCTTAGGCGGGGTGATGGAGAGGAGTGCCCTGCGGCATCCTTTCCTGTCTTGATTTTAGCATCTTTTTAAGCGAGAAAATCCCTCATCCAGCTCTTTTTGGGCTTCCAAGTGTGTTTTCGGACATGTTAAATGTAGCCATACTTTGTAAGTGTGTTAGTATGTTCATGTAAGTTATTGTGAAATCGCTTGTAGAGTGCCCTATGTGATCGTTAATTGCTGACATTTAAAGGTCTTTATGTAATGTAATGTTTGTGACGTAGCATTGTGCTTTAGGTATGGTCCTGAAAGTTATGGACTGGATAGTTTGTAGTTTTCGTAGATGTGTCATTTTAGTTGTCTCGTGAATGTGTGAAGCGTAGGTCCATATGGGCTAATAAGTAGATAATTTTAAATGATCAGTTTTTGTTTTAAGTTTAATTTTGAGCGTCTTGTGGTCTTAAAATTTTAAAACTATTAAACACGCGAAAAACCGTGAGCTGTAGACTGCAATCTCTTGAGAAAATATGCAGTTAATAGGAATATGAGAATAGGTGATAACAATTCTTGCAGGAAATTTCCTTTTACTCCTACGGTAGTTTTGGAAGCAATAATGGGGTGCCAGACAAATGACCTAAAGCCTTGGGAAATACTCTTTTTCTGGTTTCAACAGCTTATCGATTTCTTGTTTAAGATTCTTGGTAGCTGTAGGGTCAAGAGGACACAACAAACAGTTAAAACGATTTCCAACTAAACAATTGCTTAATACTTTTCACAAAGTTGGTGAGCGCCTTTTAGAGATAGCCAAGTGATAGCAAATTGACCCTTGATTTTTTATCATGTTAGGTCAGTATAATTATGTTTTGCTAATATACATTGGCGGTTTACAATTAATTTTTTTCTGTACTATTTATTATTTTCACTTACCTATAGGTAATATATAGTAAGGAAAAATATTGCTATCGTGAAAATTTTTTAATCTCAATTTTCTACAGAATTGCACATTGTGAGGTCCCCTGAGTCTAAATCACCATTCCAAGGAAATTGAATGAAATTTACTAACTAAATGTAAGCTTTTAAATTTATTTTTTACTTTGTAAACAAATATATAAAATTCATCAACAAACCTTGAAGAATGGTGTCAAAACTGAAGGATCAAAATAAATTCCAATAAATACCATCAAATCACCTTTACTCTTCGTCGTAAACCTATGTTTCCCTACAGTATCCTTTAATAATACCCCACTTATCCCTGTTGAACAAATCCGACACCTTGGACTCCATTTAGACTTGAAATCCTCTTACCAGACTGAAACGATAAGAAACCGCTCGATCTTTCCGACTACCACAGCACTCTAAACACATTTGGCCAAAAATTACATTAATCAAAATTAAAGAATATATGTAATATTTTCAGTGAAAGTATAGTAAAACAAATAAAAAAGTAACACCATTTTGAAAAAAACAAAGATTATTTAAACTAAAAGAAAATTCACACATAAACAAAATTCAAACCACACAATCCAAAATACTTCTTGAAATCTTCAATGTTTCTTGGTTTATTTCAAATCACACCATACACACAGACATGAACATACCGAAAGTAAAATCCTACGTACATAACAAGTACACAACATTTCATTCTTCTACCCTCAATCATCCAAATCTACTCGTTCTATCCCTATCTTCCTCCTTGTTACCTGGTAAGCCTCAACGATGACTAAAAAGGCAGTGGCCTTGCTATCATCGGCTGACAAGTTGAGCAAGTATCAAAAATACAAGAAGATAGAACAAACGCTAACAGATTTGCTTGATGCGTTACATCGCAATGGATAATAAAATAAAAGAAAAGAAAAACAGAAATCAGGTAAAATAAAAAACGAAATGATATAAGCACAATGGGTTGATTCTTAAAATTAAAACTCAAACAATTTCAACAACCATTTACCTCAGTCAAAATTTGATTCATAATATTTATTTCATTGTACAACGTCATTATATACATATAGCTCAGAGACTGGAGTTGTATGGTTTACAGAAACAGATCGAGTAACGAGGTTTTATTGTCTAACGTTGATATAGAATTTTTTTATTCTGATTGTCTTAATGGTTTGTTAGCTTTAAGCTATAGCTCCGTTAAAAATGCACTTCAAAAATTTTATAATAGCCCAACATTGCCAGAAAATAACTTCTAATCAAAGTGGAGCGGTAAGTGAAAGTTGTACGTTGCACGCACACATGATCTGAAACAAGAAACGATTGCAATTCTTTGAATCATCACTATACTACTGTTAAGGACTCTGAAATTGAAAATATTTCAACATCGTATATTTGAAAAACGAACCACAAATATGCTCCATATCCTCTAAGCAGAATGATGAATGAAGTAATGACTCTTGAATGGATCACTTTATGTTTCTTCCTTAGGATTATTTATTACTAATTATTATGTAATATTGGTATAATGATACAATGATATATTATTATTGCCTCTATTAGATCTAGATTGGCTCCCTGCATAAATTTACTGTTTCTATATCCCGAGTTAGTTAGCATTTGTACCAATACTGAAAGGTATTCTATTGCAGAGGTATCGTATTGTGGGATACAGAAGCAATTTGTAGCTATTGACAACAGCAGGACTTATCCTTCTAATGCAGCCTGTATCCTCTTACATGAGATATACAATACCAGCCGGTTATAATTCTTCAAAATATGATATTTTGGAAAGATTTTCAATCTCAAGATGGACGCGAGAGTTTCTTAAACT